AAATGGAAAAATGAAATTTGCAAAGAAATAGAGGACCAATCTCAATTCTTAGGGCCTGGGAATTAATAACTGAATATTTTCTCTATTTTCTCATGATGTCACTTATTTATCACACTGTCCTAGAGATTTTATGATTCTTATAACATCCTATAGACTTTTGTCTCATAGAGCTTCTGCTTAAAAAGACACATATGTCCTCTAGAGTTTCAAGACTAGCTTTTGCTATTGATACAGTAATCACAGGTGTACTGCTACTTAAAAGAAATACACACATTTTAATGTATTTTACTTAATTTTACTTGGTTCTTCAATCTGCTTGTTTAATTTCTTTATTGACCCTGTGCTCATATTTGGAAAAAACAAACCAAAACAAAACCTAGGTAAGAGCTGATTGATGTAAGGACTTCAGGATTGGGCCACACCAGCTCACCTGCACTCAGGCAGCCCAGATGGGCTGTGCGTGGCTTCCTGCCAGGAACAGAATTCCTTTTCATGAAAGCGTGAAGCCTCCACAATTTCCCTCTCTTTCAAAACTTTTCATGAAAGAAAACTGAGCAGAAGTCAAAGCTAAAGAAAGTCACAGACAGAAACTTAGACCAGTACACACTGCACATAAGTGCAAAATATTTTTTGACAAATACAATATACTTCCACAGCAAGTTTCAGTTTTACTGAATTGGTGTTTTCTGACAAAAACAAATGTATTTTGGCCTATACCTTTAGCAATTTCACATCTTTTTTTCCAGCCTGCATGAGGTGTTGCCAAAATTTTTCCCATTCCTTGCCTGTTTTCACCCATGTTACTCCTAGTTAATAGTAGTGGCTCACCTTTTTCTGCTCCCAGAGTTTGACGAGGTAGAAAGACTTAAACAAGGGAAAAAAAAAGAGATGCCTTAAGAAACCTAACTTCCGTGAGTATGGTAAAGGGCAGATTACAGTCTTTCCTTAAATTAGAAAATTAAACAGAAACTAATGCATGTCAAAGATCAAACAGGCAAGGAATAATCTGCTGCTGCAATTACTACCAACAGGGATTGATTCAGTTGATACTTTCCAAATGCAATTTGACATCTCATAAAAATTACAGCTAAACCAACAGAAACTAATTTCTGTTTTTCACAGGTGTCTATCAGGTTATAAACACACCTAACTTATTGGTTGTAATAAATGCATAACGGAAGGATATAGTTTAATATGAGCCATAGACCTTCCGAATCACCTGTGAAAATAAACTGAAATGGAGTATTTCTGTCTGTCAGTAACAGTCCTGAAACATTTTGTGGCTTTTGAAAAATTAGATTTTTAGTGCTCTTTGACCAAAGTATTTTTTTTTACTCTCCTTATGATCTAGATGAGAATGGTCTAGTCATAGAAACATTTCTCCCAGACCATTTAAGAGCAGGTCTACTGACTCATTCCATTGACCTAAATAGTATTGGATAGGACCAAAAATTGTTTTCTCTTGATTTATTGAGATCCTATCTTCATGCACCGTTAAAGAAGAGTATTTTCTTCAGTTGTTTTTGGGTTGGGTTTGGTTGGGTTTGGGTTTTTCTGTGTTTTTTTTTTTTTGTCATTTTTCGTTTAAATAAACTTTTATGAGCTTATTTCAATACCTTGGTGCTACTCAGAGATTTTTAAAAGATCTTTGGAAAAATTCTGATATAATTCAGATTGCCATGTACACAGTGCAATAATGCACAGAAGTAGTGGAAAAAAAGTGGACTTCAGACTGCAAAAATCCTTGTAATGGGAGAATATAGTTAAATATAAATGCATAACTTAAGTCACAAAGTCATGTTTTCACTCTAACATACCCAACATTTCTTAATTACAGTAATGCCTTTCCTGTATCAATAGCCCATTCTGATTTTAGTAATAATAAAAGATCTCTAGCACCCAAAGAATGGTATAGTATAATCTTTGTATAAGATTTACGGTGTTAAAAACGCTGTACTATTTTATATAAAAGGCCAAAAACTAATGCATACCAAGTATGCAGGAAATAAAGAAGTCTAACTGAGATAGAACAAGTGGGTACTTTTGATCTTTATGATTTGGTATACTGTCTTCACAGGAATATACAAGCCACTTGAGTTAACATAAAATAGACCATGTCTGATCTGCTGGTAGGAAAGCTGGACAAAAACTGACATAACAAATAAGATCAAAGTTATAACACAGGAAACTTCTCTTAGTATTGTTTTAGACAACGCTGGACACATTCAGAATTAAAGTATAGGAAAATATCAGGAAAATATCACACTTTGGCTGTAAACTTTTGCTCTAGGCTGAAACATGGCATAGAAAGTTTCAGCACAGCATGACCATTCTCTTGTAATTACTGAATTAAATTTAAATTACTCCCCAAACAAAACATCTTCTCTCAGAAAATTTCATATACTTTCGTTCTTTCCTATCACCTAAATATCAAGTATTCTTTTATTTTACAAAAATAATAAATTGTACGTACCCTTCATTAAGCTTTTCAGTGCTATGAAAAAAAAATCGCCTGTTAAAGAAAAGAGGTTTTTTTTCCCTGTAACTTACTGGATTGTCTTTTTCTGAAGGAGAAAGATGAGTAATCAAAAGTTGTGAAGTTACAATTTCTAAACACACTTGACTAGTCAATATGAGGCCAAATCTTATCCAAGGAAATATCGATACTGATTAAAAGCAATAGAAACCTGAGGACAAACTTAACGTTTCTTATCAAATGCCACTGCATTTTAGAAGCCAACTATTACAACTTGCACTGGCAGAATAGAAATAATGAAGCATATCTCCACTCGACCCCTAAAGACATGTCTTGCCACCCTGTCACAGCACCCACCACAGGCTCCCAGAGGACATCAGAGCTGCTGGGGGATGATGAATCTCAGCGCTCAGAGCAAGGGCTCTTAGCAGTCACTGAGACAGGATGCTGTTTTCTATATAACCCCAGGCCTGCAGCCCCAAACAAACTTCATATGTTGGGAAACTGCTAGAAAGAGATTTACAGAAAGCATTTTCATTTTACTATAATCTGTGCAAGATAATTAGAACCATTAAAATTCAGGAAAAGGATTGTTGAAAAAAAAATAAAAATTAGAGATGCCACAGCTTTAAACGGTTAAATTGTAATAGTTGATGCAAAAAAACCCAGTATAATGGTAAAGCATCATATAAATTTCACCAAAAATATTGGCTAATATAAACCTGCATGGCTGCAATAGCTGCTACTGTTTCCCTTCCTTTCCCTTCTCTTTTCTGTTACGCCCTTGCCTTTGAGAGCAGGAAATCTGCTAATACATGGTGTAGCCCTATTTCTATTTTGACATAATTTTTGACCTTAAAGCATGAATTCAACATACTTCAACTGATTTCAGCTGTGCTACATAATCAACAACATCAACATTAAGAATTACTTCCCTTGTAAACAAAGATCTATGACTGGATCAACTGGATCAGTACAAAAGATCTTGTTTTTCTACTGGCATAATAATTTAATAGCAAGGAGTGCTTATCTTTTCACTGAGACTGAAATTCATTCTTGTTTAGACTAGTGTCTAAAGTTGGCACATTGCACATATGCTGTGGAAATTCCTTTTAAGCCCTATGAAGGATTTAGCACTTTAGAGGGATGTAGGCAATACATAAGCCTCTGAAATTCACTTTAGAAACTTTAGATGGCACCAGTGCCGAGACTCATTGAGTTACTACTATGCAGCAGAACCTTAGAAACCCCTCAGCCAAGGAAGAAATGGCTTCAGACAGCAGAGAAGACGTAGATGAGGCATATTATATTTTTCTCAGTGATAAAACACACTAAAACCAGTTTGGGGAACCTAAGGCACGGTCAAAGAAACTTTGCTACCATGTGATTCAGAGTATTCACTTGTTATAATTTCAAAGTGTTCAAATTTGTTCGAAACATTCTGACAGGCTTAATTGTGTACTGCTTGACTTTATGCCAGTTCTCGTGATATGTGACATTTTAGTGTAAGCCTTTCCTATTCACGCAGTGTTGCAGAGCATCAGACTTATTAATGATTCTAGAAATGTGCCCAACAGAAGTAGAAATTTAAACAACAGAAGTCTGCTATTGGGTCACTGTAAGTAGCTTTTTCCCTTTTTTTTTTCCCAAGGAAACACACAGAAAAGAGAAAATAAAAAACTGTAATTTAAGCAACACGATCATCTAAAATAGCAGATAAAGAAAATAAAATTGCCTTCCAAAAGAATTGTCCTATAGATCGCATAATGAAACTACAGACGGAAAAAGGTATCTGTGTAGTCAGAATAATCAAAGGAGTAAGTGTTGTACAGATAATTAGCCCACAACCCACTTGGAGCTACTAAGGAATATGCTTCCGACACATAACATGGCATACCTTGAAACACCTCTACTGTAGTGCAAGGGAGAAGGCAGAAGGCCGCTCAACTACCTCAGAAGTGTGGGAAACTGCTTAGTAATTACAGTGGGTTACTAACTGTACATGTATGTAAACTAGATATGGTCTATGCACTCACAAAACACAAATAAATAGGTGCAGTCATAAACAAATATCCATCAGATAATCAAAGAGCATTTTTCATCCAATTACTTGCACTAAGAAGGAAACAGTATCTGACTTCAGATGCGACAACAAATGATCTTTAAGAAGCACTGGGTTTTGGATATTTTTCCCTAAAATTTTTATCTTAGAAATGTAATCCGTTTCAGTATCTGCCACAAATGTTTAATAAGCTGCAAGATAGGAAAATATAGTATTAAAATAGCAAAAAGTTTTGATTCCTTACAGTTTGTTTTTTTTTTTAATTTAATTGGGACCAACTGGCCTCATTGCTTCTTATAAACTTAGCAATATATATTCAGAAAAAGGAATAAAAATGAACAGATGTTTCTCCTTAAAGAAGTCAGACAAAGATTTTTCTTACACAATAAATCAGCTGCTAGTGGATTTCCAGGATACTGCTCCAGGCTAACTGTTTAGGTATGGCTTAAAAACCCAGTTTACCTCTGTATGTATCCAAAACTGGTAAAGTAGATTAAACTGTAGATGAACAGTAAACACTGAAGGTGGAATGAAAAGAGCCATGGGCAAGTTGAAAATCTGAAAAAAACAGAAAGGAAATATATGTTAGATATATAATTCTAAACTTATGATGATATAATGAAGTACCATCTCAGGAGCTCAAAGCACTGCACAAGACAATTGCTTCTTCTAATAGCTCCATAATGTAGGCATTAGATAGAATAGATACTGATTACTATGTTACTGCTAGGTGTCTATAGCAAATGAAACATAAATTGATGCACAAGTGATTTCCCAAAAGTCACATTGAGCAAGTAGAAAAATCAAGAAAAGAACTCAGAAATCCTGAGCTTAGATGTTTATTCTGCATACTATATGGAGCAGACAGCAACATATCCTTGACATGAAGGGTTCACTTATAGGGGAGAATTATCACAGAGTAAGCAAGGTGTCAATGTGTAACACTATAGCTTTTCCATCCAAACTCTCGACATGAGCACCATAAGGGCAAGGCAGCTTACTTGGCTTTCAAAGTTAGTTATAAATTCTCACCCTAACTTGCTCATGGCATCTCCCTTGAAGCCCCAATTTATTACTGAGTTCTAAAGATGTACTAGTGTGAAGACAGCTTCAGAAAACTGCTTACTTAGGAAAGACACTGGTACCTTACATACAGAGTAAAGTCCTAGGAGTTTCACAATTAATTGCTTAACTGGCTGAGCAATAGAATAAGACTTCCAAGACCTTCATGTGTTAAAAGTCAGTCTACTGTCTTCAGAAAAAGGCTTTTTTTTTTTTCTACCTGACTTTGTGTTATACCAGCTGCATTAAGAAGTTAATCCTTCCCTAAAATACAGAGATTTTTTTCCAAACCAAACAGTGACAGAGGTATCTTCAAAAATTTAAATCTCTTTAGCACTCAGGGAAAATCTGGGTAGCAGATAAGAGCTCCCTGTGAAACACAGCAAAATTAGCAAAATCTGTTTTCAAGTTCCTATTGTCCTCACAAAAATCAAATCTTTGAACATCAGAGAAAGCACTCTGATAGCCATGTCAGGCCTCCTGAGCCAGGAATTCCTTCAGTGTAAATCTGCACGTAGCATTTAATTCTGATATGCTCTCAGTTTTTGTCAAAAGGCCTACCCAATAGGTAAGACATCACACTGGGGCTGTGAAACCCCATCCCCATGATGTGACTGATGCTCTCAAGAAAGTCATCACAGCTGTATCTTGCTATCACAAGCCAATGGAGGATGAAGGCCCTACAATCCCAACTTGGTCTGCTGGCTTCAACCCCAGATAATGACTGAAGCACTAGAAAGAAACCCTTAAGACACTGCAGTATCACCTGGTAGGGCTGGGACAGCTGTGATTTCAAAAACTACATTCAAAGGCTTTATGGATCACAGCTGCCCCACAAACTACAAGTGGTGCATTTCTGGTTGTATGTCTTGGAAATTCTTTTCCAAGAAGTGAAGGAATTCAACGGTGGTAGGAGGATTATGCTAAGATTCTGGAAGTTGGGGAAATAATGTGAACAGCTATTTTGTTTTAATCAGTCTGATCCTCAAAGGCTGAAGTGTTTGCATAAGATCTATAAAACAAAAAAGAAAGAAAAATATATTTGAATATTGCATATTCAATCCCTAAGAATCACTCAGTGTAAGTAAACTCACAAAAATTCACAGCAACTTTTATCTAAGGGGGGAGATAGTAAATGCCATTGGGGGGATGTGGCATTTAGGCGTGAAATTCTGGAGTAGAGGTGGGTAAGACACTTCTTTAAGAATTAAAAATGCAGATCAGACTGCCTTGTGCAGAAGACTACTAAACAGAAGAGTGACTTTCAAACCCATAATTCTCCATGCTCTGAAAAAGGAATGTAGTGCAAGTCTCTCATACTTTAGAAGAAATGCCCTAAACACCAGCATGGAGTCAATCTCTTTTCCAAGTTCCTTTTTCCTCCTCCCTTTAACATGGACCCCCTTAGTATTTAATTATTAAAAGTGGGTGAGCTATGAAGGGGGAAAAAAAAAAAAAGAAAGAGACTGAGAGATATTTGTCCCACAACAGCCTGAAGGCTGGCATGGTTTTTCTCAAAGGTTATCTTACAAAGAAGCCAACAAAGGAGTAGAACAAACAGCCACATTTAAGTAAAGCTACTGCAGTTTTTTTCTTATTGTTGATTGTACCTGTCTAATGACATGATAAGAGCAGGAAATTTTTTAAAAGGAATGGAGAGGAAGTTGACTTTAAAAAAAAAAAAAACCCAAACAAAAACCCCAAACACATGCTTTTCAGATTATTCATGGAAGTGGTTGCAGGACTGAAAGCAGGGTTAAAAATTATATGCTATTTCCCTAAAAGTATCAGGAGCCATTTGGTGGTATTTACAGATGACTCAGAGGGGAAGGAAGGATCATCTTCATATTTATTTTCTAACCTACTTCTCACAATCAGTACTAGGATTTCCCTGCTAAGTGGTGAGATGAGGGAAATTTTATATAAATCCACAGGTAAATTTGAGATTGATAAAGGACAATGCTTTCCTAACTGCCTCATGTTTCCTTGCAATGTAAGCTTTATTTTGCACGAAAGGATTTCAAAGATCATTTACAGGAGTAGAACCCATAGGGAGGAATGAAAACCTCTCCCATACAAAAGATTTGGTTTCTCGTATTTGTGGTTCCTCTGAAACAGCAAGATCAGTGTTGGGGGGAGGAGGGGGGAAATCATTAAATAGTTTTTCACTGGAAATGCCAATTCACCAAATCAAAACATTTCATGTGAATGTACCAGCTTTCACTAATTTGTAGAGGAAAAGCTTTCCTGGCTCCAAGATGGAATTTCTGGTTAACACTGCAGAAGAACGTTTATCACACTCACAGATCTTTTCCCACTTGTGGATTCGGCAACAGAGATTAAAAGCGTGCCACAATAACTGATAACCTGATGGGAAAGGCACTCAGCGAGGGGGTGGAGAGGGATTCATATCTGGGGCTGCTGCACTGCTGCACTTCACACTTAAGGCATTGCCCCTTTTGAAGGGTGTGCGTCTGCTGCACGCTCTCCAACGTGGCCATGCTCTACCTTTCTCCCTCCCATTTTCAGTAAAAGCTTACAAAAGCTTCCACTGCAGAAAGGCAAAACTTTGAGACTCCTGAGGTTTAGCAGGAGGGCTGAGTTTCCTGCGCTGAGCCCCTCCGCTTCCACGCTGGGTCTCTGGGGCCACCTGCCGATGCGGCCGGCTCTCACCCGCAGGCTGCGGAGGGGCCGGCACCTGGTTCATGGGGGCTACACTTCTGTGAGGATTCTGCGGGAGTTAAAGGTAAGGATGAAAAGACAGACAAACAAAAAAACCCTCCCACAAAACCCCATCCCGTACAGATCCCAGACCTGGCAGACTCCTCAGCAGATAACAAGTGAACTTGGTGACTCTCTGCTGAAAGGAACAGCATTATCTATTCCCTTTCCAGATTTATGTATAGACGTTTCCACTGCTTTTAAACTAACAAGACATAACTCAACCCTTTATCTAAACGCACAGTCTAAAGCTATCAAATTATTATGGATCTAATATTTGCAATTAAATCTTACCCTTGGAGGACAGTTGAGAACTGGTACTCAAAGAATTAAATCATAGCTTTTTCAAGGTGTGTATGCAACTCTCTCCTTTCATAATTGCACTCTAACTAAGTGTTTCACCAGAAGCACAAATTTATACAGCATTAGCTTGCTGTTTTTTTCTTAAAAATGAATGTCCATTTTTCCCACATCTTTTTCCCACAAAATTGCCTTCAAGACCATCTCTCAGTCTTAACAGTAGGTCTGCTTCTCTATGGCCCCTCCACTGGAGTAACAGAAACACTGTGTGTGCAAATGACATGAAGCAATACACATTTGGTTCCAAGTTCAGGAGTACATCTCACACCGCTGATTGTACTTCAGGCATGTTTTTCTCTTCTCTTTCATGTCACATCTTTTCAATCAGCTCGAGCACAACCCACACAGATTAATATGCTGATTTATTTATCTTAAAACGTTTAACTTAAAACGCATACAGAGCTGGCAGCAGAACAGTCCCACAATCCCACACCATCCACCACAACTTTCTCACAGCCTGCACAATACTGGATGTCAAACTGCATTCAACAGTACACATTCGGCAACATCAGATCACTCTCAGCGATTAACTAAAGGCTTCACTTTCAGCTTTGAGGCAGATGCATCCATGGGGTTCTGGACAAGTCTGGCAGTCCAAAAAAATACCAGTGCTGTAAGAATTAGCAAGAATTGTGTTCATGCACAATAAGGCTTTGGAGAAAGAAAACCGGCATGCCTCTCAAAAGTTCTGGGGGGAGGCAAACCAGTATCTATATTTACCAAATGTTTTGGCTAATAACAAATATTTGGTGAAAAAAAAAGCTGCACACAAAGGTACCATGGATTCCTACGTTCGTTTCTCTTTGCTCAAAGCAAATGAATTTTAAATGTTCATATATAATTTGTCAAGTGGTACCAGTGTGGTCCTGAGGATGGTCTTCAGAATCTAAGGCAGCCAGACATCTTGGCTTTCCTGAATATTTTATGCTCTCTGAGGTATCATCCTCAAAATCACACAGGCAGGCAAAGTGCTCATGCACACACCCATATGTACACACAGGCTTTTTGTCTTTTTTGAATTATTGTTTTTGTTAAGCATTTGCACATATGGTCCCAATGGGTAAATATGCAAAGGTTAAATCTTTAACACGGCAGTATTTACGCAGGAAGCAGAGTTGTGACAGAGATGCATCCCTTCCGCTATTGTTCATTATGGTCATTTAAATTCAAGTCACTCCTACTAACATCAGATGATTATTTTCTACATTAAAAAAATAACTAGAATTTACATAGAAGACTTTAAGAAACAAATCTAAGAAACAGTTTCTGTTTCATGATTTCCAGAAGAACTATTCATTTTTCTGGAACCTAGAACTTTAAGTCATTTAATGTTATGGGCTTGAAAAAGTTATGAACAACAGGCTAAGTCCATGCTCAGTTACGTGAGCATAAATCTAGACTAACTTTACTGAAGTTAATGGATTTACACTGGTTTTGCATGTGTGAGCACACACTCTTGGCTTTGAGTCATTTGCTCACAGGCTAGCTATAGAGATTGCCAGAAGAGTGTGGGTTTCCTCCACCACCAGTATTACACCTCAGTGGAGAAGAGCATTCATATATTTTATATATATAAAAATACATTGAACATTGCTTTTCAACTCTAATTCTGAAAATTCAAACTCTGAAGTTATTATTCTTTTTTAAAAAACAAACTACAATCTGACTTCTTATAAAAATCGAGTCAAAAGAGAACATGAGAGCACAACTAAGGAACTATCAGCAGTTATCCTGGGCACAAAACAAAACGCTGAATAGTATGTTACATTTATGAATGTATTTGGAAATATACATTTTTAAATCTGTAAATGAGTACTCAATTTATATTGCATGTGTACGCAGCTCACCATTTAAAATAAATTATATCTGAAATAACACTAGGTAAAAGTAGTGGCATACTGCCCTAACTTCCTAGAGTACATGACATGAATGAGTGGAGACAAATAAATACATTTGCATGTCCAAAGCAATCTTTGGTAACGATTTCTCTCCCTGCTCCTTTCAGTTATACAGACATATTCTAGAGTAGTGATGTTATACTCTGATCTTTTCCTGTACTTATGCATGAATAACCGAATGAAAAAAATTGTCCCATTTTACTCAAAAAGTTGTGAAAATATAAATGCAGGGTCATAATTAGCCTTCTTAAACTTAACTAGTGTATCTCTTTTCAAGTTCGCTGTAAAACCATTAATGAATGTATTTTTAAAGCTTATGATTCTCAGATTCATCAGTTTCAACTTCTGTGATTTCAGTGTCAATCATCTTAAAAAATTTATATGTTTTTCTTTTACGGTAAATAAACACTGTGTTTTCACTTTCACTAAATCTTGTTGATATTAATTTGTCTGTCAAATCTTGTGCAACTTACCCAGGAGGTGTATTTCTGCAATACAGATTGTCTCAAGGCTGTGAATAAGTTGTAATCTTCAGAACTATGATGTACTTGGTGCGCTGCCCACAGTATATTAACCTCTGCAAAACACATAATTTCTAATGAGGTATGTACTAGAGAACAAAGCAACATTTGTTTCCCAAGGCCTTTTTTCTTAAGCTAAAAGCAACTAATCCCCCAACTTACACTTTGCTATTTTACCATAGTATAGCAGGTAATAAAACCTAATGTTTAGAGCTGAGTTTGGGTAGGCTGGGTTAAATGTCAGTAAGTGGACACAAGTCAGTGTAACTTCCATGCTGAGGAAGGTGAGGCTGTGGCAGGAACTGAAATCATTGCTGGAAGAGCAGAAGGATGTGTGAGATGAGAGTTAAACAGCCAGAAAGCTTGAGCCAAGCCCTGATAACATGAGTCAGTAGGAGCTCTGTTATGGGGTTCAGAGGGACAAGGACTGAAGATGCTTCATGCCTGCATTTGTCCACCGAAGTTATATTCCAACCGTGTCTGCTGTTATGCTTACAGTTTTCTGGAACATGTATATCTTCAAGGCCACTTATAGCACAGACCACAAAACACAGCCATTGCCTGCCCACTAGTGACAAATGGAAGAACAAATGGCCACTTGCTGGGAACTCTGGACCCAGCTGAAGGAGAGCAGTGGCTCTATTGTGTTCAAAAAGAGTTGCTGGAGTAAGGGCAAAACGAGTGTCAGCCATGTCCCCTGAAGGCACGATACTTCTAATACACTGCAGTGAAGAAGAATACTTCAAAATCCTGATTGTATTTCAAGGCATTTTCTCATTAAGCACAGATCTGGGTGGCCCCTCTGCATGGTATATTGATATCTGGACAGTCTTAAGTGAGAGGTTAAGTCAGAAATGTTCAAGGCCATCAGATGTACAGCTATGAGGTTGACTTTAATTATAGCAAAACAAGAAAGTGGGAAGTTACTGCAGCCCAAATAATGCTTATTTAGTATAAACCTAAATTTAAGGTCACAGGTATTTCAGAGGATGAGGTATACACAAAGCCTCAGCTGATTAGACAAATTAAAAGTTAACTGGCTGTCTGCCAGCTGCACACTCCCATTGCCACTGACTTGTTTCACCAGAGCAATTAGACAAGTGCCTTTGGCGGATACTAGAACCCCATTCACAGAATGATCTTATAATGTGTATGTAAAGTCCTGAAATTATCTGGTGCCAAGCTTACATCAAATAGTTTAGGTCTGGTGATTAACATGTACTTGCAATGTAAAGTAATGCCAAAAAATCCTCTTAATGAATCTCAAGGTGTCTTCACTATTTCAGGGGACTAGATAGTCTTGAAACAGGAGGTAAGTCTTGTATGCTAGAAAATGAGAATTTTAAATCTAATGAATTTTGACAGTTTGGTAACTTACATGACAACAACACTTTTGAATGTGCTCTAAGTCCTTGAAAATCCTTACAATTGCTGAATTAAACCTGTAATTTCAACTATCGTAAAACACTTAACACTAAATCTGAGAATTCTTCCTTCTTTAAATGCATTTGTTCCTGAAGGAATAAGTGTTCACTACATCAAGAATTAGTGATCTCTCTCTCAAAAAAACCCCAACACCACCTTTAATACATCTCTGCCTAATGAGCTCACTAGGAGATTAATTATTCAGGTGAGCTTCAGTACTCAGTAATAATTTGTATTTGAAATGTTTCCCAAGACCTGGACAGAAGCTAAATGAGTGAACAAAGCATCTGAAAAGGTGGAGGTTAAAGACCTGTCTCCTTAGTTGTTTTAAAAGCATTTACTTCCTATCACAAACTGTGTGTAACACAAGCCTCCACTCAATGAGGTACAGCTGTGCAAACAGGGTACAGTAACTGGATCTTGCTTCTTTCCCTCAGTCATTTTTCAGCATTATGAAAAGTTCAAGGAAGGGAACCTATGATGATTTTTACAGTCTACTTTCATTGTAGTTAAGGTCAAATGGTTTTCAAAATGAATTACTAAAAAGGCATTTTATTAGCATTCATTTTTAAGTTAAACTGCCTCTTACACTAACAAGAATATGGAATAAGGTAACTGAATATTGGTAAAATGTTAATCTTTCAGACGTGCGAGTCAGCTTAAATGATCTATCATTCAAAAATATACCACAGGAATATTAGGGACATAAACAAACAATTCTGCCACAAGTAATATAACTGCTAAAGCTGGTTTTGACTTCTGTTACAGCTAAGTAAATTAAATCCTGCTCCTTAATCCTATTCTTGCTGACATCAATGACACAGACTATGTTAAAATCCTTGGCTAAGTAGGCAGGGTTGTTGATCAGAAATAATTTTTGTCTTCAAAATTTAACTGAAGAAACTGATCATCAATAACTTTTTATTTGAAGCTAAAGAATAACATCATGAATAAGTGTGAAATAGTTCACCCCAAAACTCAGTCTGTAAGCACTAGTACATTAAAAATGTTACAATCATAAAGCCTAAAAGACAACTCACAAATGTAAGAAACAGACCAAGCATTCTTCAAGGAACACAGCTGACTGCTCACCAACTACCCATGACAGAAACCAAAATGTATGTGTCTATAGAAGAGTTGCGGTTTCACTTTTTCATTCATAATGATGATAACTTGACGCAAAATGAGAAAAGTTATTTGAATGAGAATGAAATTGTAAAAGACTCTCTCACATGCACTTTCTCATATGTATTATTACATAATGACCAAAAAAAGAGAGCAAGACCGAGACATGGCCAATTCCAACACAGAGTTTGTAAAAAAATCTGTGTAGAAAATGGGAAGTATTACCACATTTTGTAGATCTTTCCAGCCAAATTCTCCCATGAAGCCACAGGAAAAAAGTAGGTGATGGAGGTGAAGACACTCAGACAATGCTATAATGGAATTTTTTATGTTTCCTAAGTCAAATGTGATTGGTAAATACAATTAAAAAAAATACATAACTGCAATACACGTGCACAAAACCCCTATTTTTGATTCAGGAGAGCGAACATCATAGAATCATAGGATAATTCAGGGTGGAGAGAACCACAGGAGGTCTCTAGTCCAACCTCCTGCTCACAGTGGGACCAGCTTTACATTCCTGTGTACTACACCCAGTTGGGTCTTGGAAACCTTCTGCATCTTCTGCTATTATGAAGAATTATCTCTAACAGAAGACAAAGGTGGCATTTCCCTTTCATGTAGTTGTGAGGAAAGTTATACTACTATAATCTAGCACAGCAAGGGCCTCCTTTCCTGGTGTGGCTTTCCCCAGGTTTGTGTTAATAGGTGGAGACCTGATGAGCTATTCACATCTGGGGAAGAATAGAACAACTACATCTTGCTACTGGAGTTAATTATTGTTTAATACATTACTATTACCATTGTACAGAACCAATGAATATTTTCTTCCATCACCCAATATAAACTGTAAAAGAATCAGCATGTAATCCCAAAAGAGAATGAATGATGCCATGTAGATAGTTGAGGAAGGAAAGAAAATTGGTGCTACACAGGAGCTGCTGGATGATGGATGGATTATCATGTGGCCCTCAGTTTTCACTCTAGCTCTTTAAGTCTCCATGAAGTTCTCTCAAGAGTCAGACTTGCAGCTGCTAAAATCAGTGGGCTCCAAGCGGTTGATATATTTGTGTCCTAAAGCTAATTTTAAAGGAAAATTAAGATTTGTCTTTTTTAGCATTAGCTCAATACATGAATTTTATGGATAGAAGAAAGAAAATGAGAGGCTAAGGGAAGTGGCCTAGAGAAGAGGCGGCTGTGGGGGAACTTAATAGTAGCCTTGCAGCACCAATTAAGCATCGGTTACCAAGAAGTTGGAGCCAAGCTTTTTGCAGCAGTCCCACTTTATCTTCTTTTCTGGGTTTTCCAGAAGTAAGAAAGATTAACAATGTTATCCTTCTTTTCCACTTTTTCCCTCCCTCCTCCTCCTAATTAATGCATAAAATGTTTCACACACCGTCACAAACATATTGGTATGGCAACTAATGATTCTACTTAGCCTTAATTTTTTTCTATTCCAAATTTCTTTTTTGACACTAATCAAATCCCTTTCTATGAGACCCAAAGATAGATCCAACGCCTGGGCCATACTGCACTACTTCTGAAGCATTTCTTTTGTGGCAGTAGAAACTGGTCATCGTGCATGAAAGATTTCTCTTTAAGAATACATAATGCATAGAGTACAAAATGAGACTTTTTTATTAACTTCTGTAGCTTTCAGTGATTTCCACAGCCCAACTCATTTTATTAACATCAGGAGAAAATATGCATGCCAAAAAAACCTGTAGTCATTTCAAAGAGTGACGTCAATGAAAACAACCTTTTTACACAGTCCTCAAAATCAGTGAAATGGTAAAGATTTGATGAATCTTTAGTGAATAAAAAAGATTAGATAGACCTTTTAATTAAAGCTTTGCACACAGCTTTATAAGACCTGGATCTAAAGTAAAGTGGAAAAAAAATACAGATTATTTAGAAATACGTCCGTATGATGAGTCATGTTGTTTCCATTCTCTTTCAGTCAACGCTGACTGTAGCTAGAAGAACAGGTGAAAGTTTCCCCTCAGCATCTACTTAAATTTAAGCAAAACCTTCAGTTTGACTATGCTTGCCATCTCTTACAAGGTTAGATACCTTCCGTATTCAGTAAGGAACTGAACTACTATTTACCTAGCTAGAAGCTTAGAAGATAGCAAAATTACATTGACTGTGCCACAGGTTACCACATTACAATGACCTCCACAAAGCCAAGCATGTGGCAAGAAACCCCTCGCCCACGGCACGGTCCCTGCTGACCCCAGCGCAGAAACTGCTGCTTCCTACAGCAGCTGTAACCTGCAGCGCTTCAGAGGCAGGTACACTGTGCTGCATTCGCCTACAAGCAATAGTAAAAGGATCACCTCATGGGTCTACTTCTCTCCAGTCAGGATTAGTAGAAACCCCAGGGCAACCGAGGAAAGAAAAATGGCCTGGAAGGTAAATCTTCCAGTCATCCCTTCCCTTTTCTATGCATTTCAACCCTTCCTACAAAGATAAAACAGAGAAGAATACATAGTAGTTAAATAAT